GCGGGGCCAGCGCGGCTCCTCGGCGGCCGGGCGGGCCAGCGCGGCGCTGACGGCGACGAGCAGCAGCCCGAGGCACAGGTGGCTCCGCATGGCTGCGGGCAGCGGGTGAGGAGCCGCCCGGCCCCCCGCGTTGCCCCGGCCCCTCTCCCCTTGTCCCGCTCACCTGTGGTGTCCGCGCGGGCAGCACCGGTCCCGCGCCCGGCGCCCGCGATGCTTTAACGGTGGTGGCGCCGCCCGCCCCGCCCCGCTCCCCCCGCCAGGTACAAATACACCTATACGGTCGTGCAGACATGCATCGATACACGGGCGTGTGTCTCTATATACGTAAAATAGCTGCCCCCCCGATATATGTGCACACGGGTGTGTGAGTCCATCTGCACACGCACCTGGGAGCCTTTGCGTGCGCTTACACCCCTACACGTGCTTCCAAGGGTCGGTGCTTCCAACCCCCAGTGCTTCCAGCCCCATCCCGCTGGGATCGAGCCCATCTGCGACCCCCTTCAGCACCGCGTGCGCCCCGGCCCGCACCCCGCTCTGGCGGCTGCACCTGCCCCATGTCTGCGTCCCCCTCCTGATAAGGGGGGAGCCTGGGATGTGGGGGGGACCTGCCCGCCACCCCACGTCAGCAGTGGCCAATATTGGCCCTGGTCGATTAAACCGCAAACAAATGGGTTTTCGATGGGCAGGAAGGGCGCCGAGCGCGATCGATGGCCCGCGCCGGGCAGCGCTTTGCAGGGAGCAAACAAATTATTTGGCCATTTCTGGCTTTTAACGCTGCAATTGGGGACAAATGAGGCTGGGCGCTTCCTCCGGCCGCGCTGCCCGGCAGCTCCTTGACGCAGGTTTGCAGTGACCCACGCGGCCGGGACGGATCCTTCCTCCCCACTGAAGCAGGGAGGCGAAAGCAGAGGAAAACGCTGTGGAAGCCAGTGTTTTTTTCTTCTCTGCCCCTGTGCAGGACGCGGGTGCTGGAGCGGGGAGCCAGGACCTCCCGTGTGTGTCCGAACGGGTGCAAAGAGCCTGTGGGGGGGGGTTGGTCCCAGGTCCTCCCACTCATGTCCCAACGGGACAAAGAGCCAGGCGGGGGTTTATGGAGGGGGGGTCCCAGGGCCAGGGCCTCCCACGCAGCCGCCCCCAACAGGACACGCGGCCCTGGACACACAGCACCAAAACCACGGGCTCCTGCTGCCGGCACCTGCGTGGCCTGGCACACGGGGCCGGAGGACACGAGTGACGGAAGCGTTTTGTTGAATGTATTCAAGAACAAAGCACTGGTTTAGGATGGAGCAGTGGGACCTGGCGACACCACCTCCTTCTTGCTGGGTTCTCCCTTCTCTTTCCCAGCAGTCTCCCGGGTGGGTTCCCGGCCGTGGCACAAGCCAGGGAAATATTCCCAGGTCCTGTGAAGAACAGGCTGGAGGGCAGCCCCGTCCCGCAGGAGCCGGGGGACAAACCCGGCTCTGTCCTGGCTCCTCGGGGTGCGCAGGGCAGCCTCACGAGCCCCACCAGGCGCTCCGGGGACAGGGACACGCCAGGGTCCCCTCCTTTCCCCGCTCCACATCTGCCCCAGGACGTTTTGATGCTGCTCGTCCCTGGAAGACACACCCCACAGCCCGAGCATCTCTTGTCCCGTATTCCCAGGGCCCTCCTTCCTATTCCTGCTTGTTCCAGGGCACTCGGGGCTGCGCGAGGGGCAAGGCCCTGCCCCAGCCCCCCACTCAGAATCACGCCATTGTTATGGCTGGAAAAGACCTTCAGGATCATCAAGTCCAAACCCATCCCTGGCATCCTGCTAAACCCTGGCCCAGCTGCCTCCTCCACGCGTTTCTTGGATGCTGGAAGGATGGTGACTCCAGCACTTCCCTGGGCAGCCTCTCCCGCTGCTTCACCTCTCTTTCCACATAGAAACTTCTCCGAGACGAGTGGAACTTCCCCCAGCCGCAAACGGGAATCAAAGCCACCAAGCGCCTGCTTTCGAAAACCATTTTTATTTAAATAAGACCTTAAATACATTACATAAAACATTAAAAATGAAACCAAAAGTCTGTTACTTCACAGGGCATTAGGCAGCAGTCGCTAGTAACATGTAAGCTCTGCAGCTCTATCTACAATGATACTTGTTACATTAGTCCAAAATTGATCCCTTGTCAAAAGTTTAACCCACGGTGAACGGTTCAAGTATGTTACCCCGGGAGCTTTGGGCTTACGACACCAGGGCCCGGCCGGGCCTCGGTTCCAGGCATCCGGCCTCAGGAGTCACTTCAGCTACTCTTCTTGTTCCAAGTTTCCCCAAGTCCCTCTGCCACCAGGAGCAAGCGCTGCCTCGGGGAGGGTGTCTACGTCCCCATCCATGTCCCAGCTCGCCTTCGGTGCCTCACTCCATGTAGGACGGCGGCGGCACCTCAAGTTTTACTGCCCACTGAAGGGGGAAGGAGGCTGGACCGAGGGGAGGCTCAGGCAGCTGCTGGACTGACATGTCGAGTCCCTTGACTTAGCTTGAGACATCTGGTTAGTTTTAGCTTCAGGCTGGACAGCGCCAAACACCTGATTGACCTCCATTAAATGAGGGACAGCAAGACGAGATAGCATGGGCTCGTGTCAGTTTATTACATCACTGCGTTACACTAGTCCAGACTCAACAGTGGACCCAAGGTTGTTACATTACACAAACCCGCTGGTTTTAAACTTATGACAAGGGACAGGTGGGATTTTCATGGTAAGGAAGTCTTCTTGCATAAAGCTCCTGTGACCCACAGGCACTTAAAACCCATGGACTTTCAGCTGGTCGTCTTTAGCCAGTCCAATCTGTAAGAAAGGAGATGCGCTTTATAGTACAAACTAGACAAGCCCTTGCTCTTATTTGTGCACAGTGTATGCTGTAGAACTGCCAGATTTCTGCCCCCTCCAACACACAGCTGAACAACCTGACTGCAAAACCTCGCGGGACAAGTTTTAACTCAAGCAAGAACAGCAAGAAAAACACCCAGCACTTCCTGCAGCAGCCTGTTCGGCTAAGAAAATTAGAAGCTGCAGGGCTATTCATTAAGGCAGAGACCCGTCTTCCCCTGAGGCCCTCGCGCGCGGCCCTGGGCACCTACCTCCACGAGGAACTGGCAGATGTTCTTGCGCTGGTCGCCCTGCAGCTGAATCACTTCTCCATATTCAGGGTGTTCAATCACAGTACCATTGCAGGCAAATTTCTGCAGAGAAAAGGGGCAGCGAGGGGGTGAGGGCAGGGCTGGCGGGGCAGGGGGGCGCGGGCAGCGCGCGGGGCGGCGCACGCACCTTCTTGAAGGCCTTCACCAGCTTCTTTTTATCGTAGTCATCCGCGATGCCCTGGACGGTGGTGAGGGTCTTCCTGCCGTTGCGCTGCTGGATCCTTATATGGATGTAGTCCTCAGTGCCGGCAGGGAGCAGGTCATCACCCTTACTTGCATCAGCAAAGGGGTCTGCGGCACAAGGCGCGTCACCTCAACGCCGCTCCCCATTGGCCGCGCCGCCCGCCCGTCACCGCGCCGCCCCGCCCCTCGGCGCCGCCATCCAC